AAAAGAGAAAAAAATAAATAAATAAACTAAATTTTCTTCTTTCTTGTTGTTGTATCAATTGCCTGGAGGTGTGAGGTTTAAAACCGAATTGCGGTTTTCGTTGAGCATTGGTTAAACTTTTTGGAAAAAGTTATTTACAATTTGAGAGAGAGAGAGAGAGATTTAGAAATAAATACCTTTCAAAATTCGACCATTTTAATTTTGCTCTTTTCTCTTTTACAATCGTAACGAGAAAAAGGAAAATTTGACTAATTTTGACTTTTATTTTTTCAAATAATTTTTAAAATATAAAAAGGAGAAAAAAGATTTAAAGAATAATTTAAAATTATGAAAAGAATATTATAATTATTAGTACATATTTTTATTCACTGAAGGTTGAATATAGTGTAAAATTAATACACTATTTCCGCTCAAGTAAATTGGCTTTTAATGATATAAGATATTTTTACTTCATGTAAGAACAATTACTAAAACAAAAAGAGCACGCGCTACTTTGCAAGCTTGTTTATCTATAGACTATACCTACAAGTTTTATAAGTTTATATTTTATATTATAAGGAACGCTCGGTAGCTCTACGAATACATTGTGAAAAATAAAAAAAAAATTTCCCTTCACCTTATATTTATTAATATTAAATAAAACAGAAGTTCGTTTGAAAAAAAATTTCCAAAAATACAAATATCTTGTTATTTACATTGAAAATTTATTTATTTTTCATTCATTTATTTTGTTTTATTTTATTTTATTTATTTATTTATTTTTCATTTATTTAATTTACTTTATTTATTTATTTTTCATTTATTTTATTTATTTATTTATTTACATAGTTACAAATTTATATATTTGTTTACAATTATGCATTTCATCAGTTATTTATATATATTTATACTGAGCTTTATGCATTTATGCAACTTTTTCTCCAAATAAAAACTTTATGTTGATAGAAAAAATTAACTTTTAAGTGACAGATGAATAATAAATGTGGTCAGAGAAAAAAAAACATTGTGAAAGATTTATACCTTTATAATGAGAGACTGCATTTTTTAAAAATGAACAATTAAAATTCAACGGATGCAAAACTGGGCCGATCAATATAGACTTGGCGTAAATAAATCCGACACTGTAAAAAATCATTAAAATTTATATATTCAATAAACTTTAGAGCGTCACATATAAGTATATATGTTTCATAGAAATACGCAGACGGAAGATAAAAAACAATCAGTAAAATTTAAAACAAAATTTATAAATTTACCAATTTATACAAAAAATAATAAACTTTTTAACAGTAAACTTTTGAAATAGTAGGACATTTTTTTTATTATATTTTTAAAAAGTAAATTTTACGATTTTTAAAAAATTTACTTCACAAATTAAAAAAATTAAATAAATAAATGAAAATAGAAAATAAATTTTTACAATTGGAAAAAATTTACATAAAAAATAATAAAAATTAGAAGATATTAGCAAAGTGCAGTTGCAAATTTTACTATACTTCTGAACTAAATTTCAACAATTGTCAAAATTTACTACAAAAATAGTAAAAGTTGACAGAAACTAGCAAAATTTTTGAAGTAAAATTTACTATATTTTCGAAATTGAATTTTGTTAATTGCAAAGAGATTTACTCCGAAAATAATCAAAATTAGTGGAAAATAGCAAAGTGTAGTTATTAATTTTACTATACTTCGAAACTAAATTTTACTAATTTTGGCAAAATTTACTGCAAAAATAGTCAAAATTGGCAGAAATACTAAAATCGACAAATAACTTTTACTATACTTCCAAACAAAATTTTACCAATTAGTGAAATTTACTTTTGAGAAAAGTAAAAACTGATAGAAGCTAGCAAAGTGGTCTAATAATTTTTACTGTACTTCCAAAGTAAATTTTACCACTTGTAAATTTGTACCTACATTCAAATAAATTTTTTAACGTAAATACTTAAAAAAAACAACTTAAAAACACTCTGAAAATGGTAAAAATTAGATACTAGCAAAGTAAACAATAAAATTCACTACACTTTCGAACTAAAGTTTACTATTTGTAAAAATTACTATAAAAATAGTAAAAATTGACAGAAACTGTCAAAGTGGAAAAATAATTTATACTATACTTTAGAACTAAATTTTACAAATTGTAAAAATTACTATAAAAATAGAAATATAGTAAAAATTTCCAGAAACTAGCAACTGCAAAATTTAATTTAAAAATAATAAAAGTTGAAAAAAATTAGCAAAGTGGAGTAATATATTTTACTATGCTTCTAAACTGAATTTTATCAATGTAAAATTTGGACCAAAAATAATAAAAAAGTAAAATTGTAGAAGTTAACGAAAACCAGCAAAGAAGACATTCAGCAACTTTTACTATACTTTTTAACTAAATTTTACAATTTGTAAAATTTGTAAACTTTGCAAATTTCGTAAAATCGTAATAAAGTTACGAAAATTGTAAAAATTGACAAAAAACAGCAAAGTAAACAAATAATTTTTACTATTCTTCCAAATTAAATTTTACTATTTGTAAAATTTACTCCAAAAGTAATAAAATCCAAAAATAGTAAAAATTGACAGAAAGTAGCAAAGTTTAATAAATTTTACTATACATCCAAACTAAATTTTATCAATTGTAAAATTTGCTTCGAAAATAGTAAAAAAAAATTAGCAAAATAGTAGAAGTCGACACAAACTAGTGAAGTAAATAATATATTATTATATATTATATTATATTATATTATATATTATTATTTACTAAAACTAAATTTTATCTTCTATAAAATTTACTACGAAAACAGTAAAAATTGACAGAAAAGAAGAGAAATAATTTTTTCCAATTGTAAGATTTTGCCCAAAAATTGTAGTGAAATTGTAAAATTTGACAGAAGCCAGCAAAGTAAATAATAGTTTTCACTACATTTTCAAACTGAATTTTACAAATTTTAAAATTTACTCTAAAAATAGTAGAAAAAATTGTAAAATAAAAGAATTTGATAGAAATTAGCAAACTTTTACTGCACTTCTGAACTATATTTTACATTCTGTAAAATTTGATATGTAAGTTTTAAATAAAAATTGACAGAAAATAGTAAAGTAAATAAATAACTTTTACTATTCTTTTGAAATAAATTTTACCTACTATTTGTAAAATTTAGTCTAAAAGTAATAAAATCGAAAAATAGTAAAATTTAACAGAAACTTGCAAAGTTAAATAATAAATTTTACTATTATATCCGAACTGAATTTTACAAATTTTAAAATTTACTCCGAAAATAGTGAGAAAAAAATTGTAAAATTTACTACAAAAGTAATAAAATCTAAAAATAGTGAAAATTGCCAGAAACTAGCAAAGTTCAATAATAAATTTTACTACTAGATATCCGAACAGAATTTTACAAATTGTAAAATTTATTTCGAAAATAGTAAAAAAAAATTAATAAAATAAATAAAAGTTGTCAGAAACTGGTAAAGTAAATAATATCATTGCTTACACTTTCAAACTGAATTTTACAAATTTAAAAATTTACTCCGAAAATAGTAAAAAAAAAAATTGTAAAATAAAAGAATTTGACAAAAATTAGCAAACTTTTACTGCACTTCTAAACTATATTTTACATTCTGTAAAATTTCCTACGTAAGTTTTAAGTAAAAATTGACAGAAAATAGCAAACTAATAATTACTATCCTACCAATTGTAAATTTAAGTCCAAAAATTGTAAAATAGTAAAAAGAACGCAGTAAAACAGTATAGAATTCGACAGGAACTAACACTTTTACATTTTACCGTACTCCCAAAACTAAATTTTACCAATTGTAAAATTTACACCAAAAAATAAGTTAAAAAAAAGGAGGGAAAAAAAATTTCCGAACATGATTAAATTAAAATCAAAAGATTCGAGATAATAATAATTATGTTTAAAAATTGTGTTTATTAATTATGTTAAAAAAAGATACAAATTGACAATTAAAGACGCATTTTTAAATTATCTAAGTACTTGTCTAGAACTATTTAAATCTTTATTAGAAATTATTTTTTGCAAATTTCTTGTCAAGCTTTTCTTTTTCTTTCTATTCTTCTTCTTCTTTTATTATTATTATTCACAAACGTTATTTCTTTTTGAGTGATAATTTCTTTTTCTTTTTTTTTTCAAGAAGATTTTGGTTTGGCTTGAGGTTAATTTGACGGTCAGTAGCACTAATTATGGTTCGGTGTAAAATAAATAGAAAAGAAAAAATTACCATCTGAATGAAAATGCAACACAACTATAAGGGGTTAAACACTCTCAATAGTAACAATGAATTCACTATATATATATATGTATATACACTTTTCAGAAAGCAGACTATCGACTCGTTTATTGAGATCGATAGCTCTTTGCATAATAATGAGTTTAATGGGTTTGCAACACTGAAATAAGTCACGTTGAGAGGCGTTGAAAATAGTATATATGTACTCTTATGGTGTATTTTTAGTGTATACTCGCATTTACACTAAACTATAGAAACACTTATTGTTCGAGCGACTAATTGAGGTTTTATTATATATATATAGTAAAACATATATATCTATATATATATTGCCATAAATTTAAACTTTGTATAAGTTGTTCGCAGAGACTTAAGAAAGAAATGTCAGAAAAAGTTCACCCTTGACGTTTCTAGTTTCGATCTTTACCTCAAGTCTATTCATGGAAGCAGAGATACATATAAAGTTAAATACAGTGATGGCCGACTTTCTAAATGTGAAGAAATTGTTGAAAATTCGCGAATTTCTTTATTTTCTTATTTATTTATTTTCTGTAGTTGCAAAATAATAGAAAATACAAATTTTCATTCAGTAGGAGAAACATTAAAATTAAATGATTTACAATTTTTAATTTTTAATTAATTTCAGTTTAATTGTAATTATACTTTTAATTAATTTAACGGAAAGAAAAGAACAGTTTAAAATAAATCAATCCTTAAATGATAATTTACAATTAACAATTTTCTATTTTCAGGTGAATGAAAAGAATGATGATCATCATCATCATTGTTTAAATACCTCCAGTAATCGTGAAATGAATGAACATTCACAAACGTCAGCAATTTATAGGTGGGTAGTATTAATTTTTTTAAAATATAAATTTAAAGAGCAAGACATTATTTAATAATAATATGACAATATATATAATATTTTTGACGATAAAAAATTTTCCAATATTTTCCATTATTTCAATTTTTTATTTTCTTTCAATTTTTTATCTTAATTCTACTTTTTAATTTATTTTCTATTCTCCACTTTATTGCTTAAGAATATATAATAGTAATTAAATAATTAATAATATATAAGAAATAATAAATATTATTGATGGTGATAAACAACTTATTCAAATATTTTATTTTCATTATTATTTAAACGATAAAAAATTACATAATTGGAAAAGTAAATAAAAAAAAGTAATTTTTGCAAAAAGTACTATATTTAATCTTCAAAAAAAATAATTTTTTTTTTCGTTTCAAAAAATTCAACTGCAATTTTTTATTTTTGTTTCAGTTGATTTTAACAAGAAGGAGAAAAGAAGAATATGATTTATTCTAAACGGAACGAAAAATATTGTGATAGTGAAGTGAGAAATAAATAAATAAAAAAAAGGTGGGATTTAAAAAAGAAAAATCCCCCAAAAAAAAGTTCATAAAAAAAAGTTGGATATACGTATTCATGTATTAGAAAGTGTTGTAAGTAATTCTAAATGGGTCAAGACAAAGACAATTTGTCAAATTTAAAAAATCAATTAAAAAAAGATAGGTCATCACCAAATTGTGCGCGTTGCCGTAATCACGGATTGACAATTAAACTCAAAGATCATAAGAAATTTTGTCGATATAAAATTTGCAAGTGTGAAAAGTGCATTATTCTTAAGGATCGACAACGTATAATGGCACGTCAAATTGCATTAGTGAGAGATCAAAAATCAATAATGAAACACGAATTACAACCAGGAGAGGTTTGGAAATTTTTTTTTTTACTTCTAACATTATTTCTTTTTAAACAATATAACATTCACTACACTTCCAACCTAAATTTTACTATTTGTAAAAATTACTATAAAAATAGTAAAAATTGCCAGAAACTAACAAAAGTAGAAAAACAATTTTTACTATATTTTTACTAATTGTAAATAGTACTAATTTTAAAATTTAATTTGAAAATAATAAAAGTTGTAGAAACTAGAAAAGTTGAGTAATAAATTTTACTATATTTCTAAACTGAATTTTACCAATTGTAATTGTAATTTTCACTATTAGCTTCTAAAGAGAATTTTACCAATTGTAATTTTAACGCTTGTAATTGTAATTTTTACTATTAAATAAAATTTTTAATTTAATTAATTCTGTATTAAATTAAAAATACTCGGAAAATAGTAACTGATTTTTAAGAATTAGAAAAATAGTATAAAAATTAACAGAAACGTAAAAAAATAATTTTTACTATACAATTCAGAACTGTAAAATTTAGGTACTCTAAGAATGCAATATTTTTGAAAACGAAATTTTTTTCAAGTTAAATTTACCTCCAATTTTCATGAGCGTGAGTTTTTAAGAAATTAGTTGTGTTACTTAAAAGATAATTCCTCAAAAATAATAAAATTGAAATATAGTAAGAATTAACAGAAACTAGCAAAGTTAAATATATAATAAATTTTATCATTATCTCCGAACTGAATTTTACAAATTGTAAAATTTATTTCAAAAATAGTAAGAAAAATAGTAAAATAGTAGAAATTTATTTATTTAACAATTTATACGGGATTACAAAAAGAAAAACGCCCTTTTATTAAAAATAACTTCAATCATAAATGATTGAATGTCATAAATAAATAAATAAATAAATAAATCTAAATTACAAATTAATTATCTAAATTAATTACTCGGTTGCTACGCAACCTGGAAACCTGGAAATGTCAGGGAATTTTATAAACCTTGAAAAAACCTGTAAAAGTCAGGGAATTTTTATCGAATTACAATTTGTCATAAGTAGATAAACTTCAAAGGATTTTGATTTAAAATTTTGTAAAATTTCAATTTTATATGAATTTAATTAGAAATATAAAAAAAACTTACACTTAAAAATATTTTAATAACTAAAATTCTTCTGAAATTAGTTAAATTTTTAAATATATATGTAACTGATTATTAAAAATAATGTATTTGTAAAAGAATTTTCAGTCAAAAACACTAAAACAAATTGAATTTTGAAGCAGTTACAAAAATAATAATTTCACAAAATTTTTTCAAGCAGAAAAAAATTTCACAGAAATTCAATTATTTACAAATTATTTTCATATATTAGTCAATTATTTTTATAAATAACAACATTTTTTACAGTGATTGAATTATTTTTATAAATAATAAAACTCAATGCTGAATTTCAATTATTTTTTTAATACAATTTTAATGGAATTCCTCGAAAAAAGTTATTATTCTTAAAAATTTTATTAAAATTTATCAAAGAAATTTAATTATTTTAATAAACTTTGCTACAATTTATTTATTAGAATTTAAGTATTATTTTCAATGCATTTTTAATTAAATTAAAGAATAAAATTATTTTCAAAAAATTTAATCAAATTCTCTGAGTAACAATTCAATTTTTTTAAAAATAATTTAAATAAAATTCTTCTAAGAAATACAATTATGTTTAAAAATTTACAAAAATTTCAATTATCTTTATAAATAATATTTTCCTCCGAAATTCAATTAAAATAAAATTATTGACAGAATTTCAATTTTGTTTATTACAATTTTCTTCAAATTTCTCGAAAAATGCAATTATTCTTAAAAATTTTTATTAAATTAAATATTAAATTTGTCAAATGAATTCAATTATTTAAAAATTTGCTGACAAAAATTCTTTATAAAAATTCAATTTTAAGAAACATTAAATTGTTTAATAAAATATTTATTTTTATAGTTAAATAATTGAATTTTCGTAGAGTTTTCTAATATATATTAATTTAAAAATGAATTTCAAATTAAAATCTTTGAAAATTTGAACTTTTCATATTTTTAATTAAGAATTCTATAGAATTAATTTTTCTCAATAAGTTTAATTGAATTTTTAAATTAATATTTTAAAATTTTAAATTCTAATACATTTAATTGAAGAATGTCAGAATAATATTTATGGAAAAATTGAATTTTTGGAATAATTTTATTAAAATTTTTGAGAAGAATTGATTTATTTTGAAGAATTTTATTATGAACTTTTTAAAAAAAAATTAAAATATTTCAACAAATTTAATTAAAATTGTGATGACAATAATTTAAATCGTATAAAGATTTTTATCAAAATTTTTGAAAATAATTGAATTCTCTCGAAGAATTTCATTAAAAATAATGTTTTAAAATATTTGAATCTTGTTAAGAAAGTTTCTTAAAATTGTATTGAAAATAATTGAATTCTTGAAAAGAATTTTATCAACAAATTTTTAAATAATTCAAATTCTTTTGACGAATTTTAAGAAAATTTTTAAGAATAATCTTCTTTTTGGAGAAATAAGATTAAAATTGTATTAAAAATAATTGAAATCTCTGTAAAAAAAATTTGATTGAATTGAGAAAAGTTTTTGAAAATAATTGAATTTTAAAGAAGAATTTTATTATTGAAATTTTGACGAGAATTTATTTAAACTTTTGACCATATTTGAATTTCTTTGATGAATTTTAATAAAATTTTTTAAGAATAATTACAATTTTCGAGAATAATTTCATTAAAATTGTATTAAAAATAATTGAAATTCTACGATGAGTTTTTATTATTTATGAAAGTAAATTGAAAAACTATTTAGAATTTTATTATTTATGAAAATAATTGAATTTCTGGTACAAAATGTTATTATTCATGAAAATAATTGAATTATTGCGAAGAAATTTATAAAAAATTTGTAAATAATAGAATTTTTGTAAAATTTTAATTATTTAATTCATTCATACTAAATTAAAATTTTCTAAAACTTTAAATTAAAACCTTTTGAAGTTTATCTATTTATGAAAATTGTAAACGCAACTCTGTTAAAAAATAAAATTCAATTAATTTTGAAATATTTAAGTAAAATTAGATTTCAAAAGTAAGGACTATTAGAAAATAATAATTTTCCAGGATTCTGATCAAAATTCCCTGACTTTTCCAGGTTTTTTCAAGATTTAGAAAATTCCCTGACATTTCCAAGTTTTCCATGTTTCCACGTTGCGTGGAAACTCTGTATTGATAACTTTAGCTTAATGTTTTTTTCCTGGCAAATTTTTTTATTTTTTCATTACAATAATTAATTTTTCTAAAATTTCTTATTATCGTATTTATGATTTTTTTTTAATATATTTTTTTTGCATAATAAATAGTTTATAGAGTTTTTGCTACAGTCATAAAATGACCAGAAATATATCTAATAGTACATGAAATTTAGTCATTTGATTATTATTAACATTTGAATTTGTGTTGATAAAGTTGTGATTTTTCCCTTTTTCTCTTTTTCGTCTAAGCAGGTGGGTTATGATGTCATAGATCATGATGTATTTATCTCTCTACCATCGGGAAGAAAAAGGAGTAAAAAATTTTGCGATGGCAGCAGTGTTAATTCATCTATAAGTGATCATGACTCTTTAGGACCGAGCAGTGTAACTGGTGATGACAGAATTCCGTCCACGAGTGCAATATCAACATCAGCTTCAACACCTCAAAATTCGCCCAGTCCAAGTAGTGAGTTTTTTTTTTTATTACAATTGAGAATTTTTTCTTGATAAATTTGCCAATTTTTTATTTTCTTCTGTATCTTTTTCTCTCTTACTGTATATTTGTCATTCCAAATCCAAAATGAAGTTAAATTCAACTTTTCTTTCTATCCTTAGGCAAATTTTTTCAGTTTCGATTACAACTATTGTCTATTTTCAAGGTTCACATTGCCTGTATGTATACAAATTAAATTTAATTTCGAAAGCTACGATTTAAAATTTAAATGACATAGAAACTCGGTATTCTTTTTTAAAGAAAAAAAAATTGACTCCTGAAAAGGTCAAGTCGATGGAAATGATTTGAAATTTCAAAATGTAAACTTCTCTTAAACGAAAATTTTCTAAAAACATCAACAATTCGCAATATTGCAAATTGTTTACTAAACTTCTTATTTTTCCTAATAATTATTTCTTTTCTGAAAGAAAAAAACGAGGAGTGAAAAATATTTTCTATATTTAAATATTTTAAATTCAGGTTTAAAAAAAAGTATTACTTTTATTTTTTTGAACATACGAAAGCAGAATAAAAATTCTGTTCCTGTTGATGAATGAAGAAAAAAAATATATTTGCCATTAAAAATTCTTTTTTGACGCAGGAAATGCGGTTGAATAGCGTGCTAAATAATGAAGATGTTCATCAATGAACATTATTTGGCTCCGATTATTGAACATTTTTTTAATAACTATGTTTTCGCTAACCGGAAATGCGGTTACAGGATAATGTCTTAAACTTCAACACACAGTGGTTTGTTGCATTGTCTGTCGGAAGTGCGGTTAAGCATTGCGTGCTAGACCTTTCGAAGAAGTCTAGCACGAAGAAATGCATTCCCTTGAATTATTCATAAATGATATAATTAAAAATAACTATGTTAAAAGTTTTTAAATAATTCATTCACTGACACGTTTCAATTTAATTTATTTATCTCCTGGTTTACGTATTTTTTAATTTTTTCGCATAATCGTATGTTAATAATAATTATTATTATTATTACTGTAGTCATATTTTGCAATATTGCATTGAAAAAGAAAATTATTTGATTCAGGTAAATATTCAATTGGTAATATTTACAATACGATTTTTTACCTTTTTGTTACGATACTTTTTTCTTTTTTGAATTAGAGGAAATTTGTTTTCGAATATTTCTACATGGGAGGTGTTTCTTTTTTATACACAATATCGACTATATAGTTGATAGTCAATAAAAGAGGAAACCTTGAAGGTAAAAGATGACAGCATCCTGGCGAAAATTTAACGGCTTTAAAATATTTGATGGAAATATTATGATTAGTGTCTACCAGTGGGGAAAAACTGTAAAAACCAAGGTTGTGGAAAGTCGTAAAAGAGTTGTATTTTCAATAATAAGCTGATTCTCTTTCACCTTGGACGTTCAGTTCCATATTTTATCTCCTGACTCCAGTTTATACCTTCTTGTTCTTTTTTTATTCTTCTTCTTCTTCTTTTAGTCTTCTTTAACGGTAAAGACTTGCTTAATAGCAACATCAACTCATGTTCCTCAATCCTCTATACTCTCTTCCTGTTTTTCCAGCAAAAGTCATTTTTTCAAAATTCAAATTTTCCCAAGACCAAAATATTTTAATTTTTAAAATTGACATGATTTTCCGTAATTGTCTTTCTAAATTGATATTAATATAAAATTTTAATAGGTACTGAACATTTAAATTTTTATTTTTCAAATTTACACCTTTTCTTTCTTAATTATTATTTTTCGTGTTTTTTTATTTTTTTTTTTTTATTAAAAAACATGATTTTTTAATAAAAAATAATATTTTTAACTAAAAAATAATATATTCTATTATAATAAAGTGGTACTTTTTACTGAAAAATAGTATTTTTTTGTAACAAAAATTCTTTTTATTAAACCATCAAACTTTTTCATTTAAAAAAAATAGTTTTTACTAGAAAATAGAAATAGTACTTAAAAAATAATACTTCTTATTAAAAAATAAGAGATTTACTACAGAAAAATAAATTTAACGAAAAAATAATACTTTTCATTAAAAAATAGGAGTTTTTAATAAAAAAATAATATTTCTAACCAAAAAATTAATATTCTCTCCAAAAAAAGTATTATTTTTTTCTAAAAACTATTATTCTTTAGTAAAAAATATTTTTCTTTAATAGAAAATATTATTTGCACTAAAAACTAAAATTTTTTATTCAAGAGTAACATTTCTTTAATAGAAAATATGATTTCATTAATAAAAAACTTATTGTTTAAAAGAAAGTAGTATTTTTTAGTAAAAAATATTATTTTTCAATAAAAAGTATAATTTTTTTATCAAAAACTATTTTTTTTTAAATAAAAAGTTTGATTGTTTAATAAAAAGAATTTTTTTTTAGGAAAAAAAAATATTTTTTAGTAAAAAATCCTGTTTTTTTAATAAAAAGAGATATATTATCGAAAAAAATATTATTCTTTAGTAAAAAGTATTATTTTTTAATAAAAAGTATTATTTTATTATAAAAAAGTATTATTTGGTTAAAAAAAATAATTTTTACTAAAAAATAATGCTTTTTATTGAAAAATAATATTTCTTACTAAAAACATAGTAATTTTTCTAAAAAATATTACTTTCTATTAGGCAATAAATCTTTTTACAAAAAGAATAATATTTTCTAATAAAAAATATGATTTTTTACTAATGAATAATAAATTTTACGAAAAAATAATACTTATTTATTAAAAAAATAAGAGTTTTTTAAAAAAAAAATAATATTTTTGACCAAAAAATTATTACTTTCTCCAAAAAAAAGTATTATTTTTTTCTAAAAACCATTATTCTTTTGTAAAAAATATTTTTCTTTAATAGAAAATATTATTTTCACTAAAAAGTTAAAAACTAAAATTTTTTATTTAAGAGTAACATTTTTTAATAGAAAATATGATTTCTTTAATAAAAATCTTATTGTTTAAAAGTAAATAATATTTTTTAGTAAAAAATATTTATTTTTACAAAAAGTATTATTTTTTTTTGTAAAAACTATTTTTTTAATAAAAAGTTTGATTGTTTAATAAAAAGAATTTTTGTTAGAAAAAATTACTCTTTTTAGGAAAAAGCATTACTTTATTAATAGAAATTATTATTTTTTAGTAAAAAATCATGTTTTTTTAATAAAAAGAGTTATTTTTTCGAAAAAAATATTATTCTTTAGAAATAAGTATTATTTCTTAATAAAAAGTATTATTTCGTAAAAAATTATAGTTTTTACTAAAAAATAGTGTTTTTTATTGAAAAATAAGAGTTTTTAATGAAAGATAATATTTTTGACCAAAAAAATTATATTTTTCTATTAAGAAATAGTACCTTTTATTAAAAAAATAATACTTTCTCCAGAAGAAAATATTGTTTTTTCCTATAAACTATTATCCTTTAGAAAAAAATATTTTTATTTATTTATTTATTTTTCATTAATAGAAACAATTATTTTTTTAATAAAAGTCTTATTGTTTAATAGAAAGTAATAAATTTTAATAAAAAATATTATTTTTCAATAAAAGTATTATTTTCAATAAAAATGATTATTTTTAGTAAAAAACGATTATTTTTTTAGTAAAAAATCTTATGGTTTAATAAAATTATTTTTGTTTAGAAAAAATGACTACATATTTTTTAGTAAAAAAAATTTCAATTTATAATAATGTTGAGTTTTAATTAAAAATATTTTTAATTTTTAATTTTTCGTTTTCAATTTTTAATTTTAATTTTTTAATTTTCAATTTTTAATAATAATTTTAATTATCATAATTGTCTTCGAAAAAAATAATTTCAAAGAACGACTACAAGAAATTAGAGGAAGGGATTAATTAATTAAGAGAAAAAGTGCAAGTCGCATGAAAACGATTATTTGTCGAAAGTGATTAAAGTTTTGTAATAATTATTAATTAGAAATACACTTGCGGATAAGAGTGAGAGAGAGAGAGAGAGAGAGAGAGAGAAAGAGAGGGAACAAAAGGTCTATTCAGTGATTTTAACGGAATATAGAGTTTCCCTTCATTCGACTAATTTACCATCACGATCGGCAACAGTCGCCTTGCTGTTCTTTAATTTCTTCTTTCTTATTCTTAATCTTTATTGCATAAATGTTGATGACGTTCTTCAACAAAATCGATACACTTTTCTTTACCCTTTCCCTCCTACACACATATATACTTTCCTTACAAATATGTATCTACTCTCTTCCAGTTAAAATGACCCTCAGCAGTTATTTTCTCTGCTTTTCTTTCCTGCTAAACAGTCTTTTTCTACCTACACGTAATACACACATGAATAATATCTACTTCGTCGATATTACAGTTCCTGTGAAATAGACAAGTAATAAATAAAAATGTCTTTTCTTTTTTATTCTTCTTTTTCTTCTTCTTCTTCGATTCTTGCAACTTTGATTTATTAATGAAATGAGACGGGGAGAAAAAGAAAAAGCTTTCATTGACAAGTTTTCTTTTTACAAAGTTACTGTAGAATCCCGTTTACAGTTAAAGTCGAACTAATCAGGTGCATTTAATATGCAGAGGGTCAATACTGTCTAACAGTGACCAAGTACTAAAAGACTATTTGCAATGATAATCGATGACACAAAATGGGTGTAATTCGTAACAAGGTTGAATATTCGAATTAGTTAGAAATCAATATTTTTGTATTTTTACGGATTTTGTTTATTTTTTTCCCGAGAGTTAAATTCCATTTTTACATTTGGCAATCATTACCCTTCACTGACAATTAAATTTTACTGAAAATCAGTTTTCTCTACTGAAAATAATTTTTACTTTACTGACAATCAGTATTCTCTACTGAAAATCAATTTTTTTTACTGTATCCGTATTCTCTACTGAAAAAAGTTTTTTTTTTTACTTACAGTCCGATTTTCCTGCTGAAAATAAGTTTTTCCTTACTGAAAATCAGTATTCTCTACCACAAACAAGTTTTTTTCTACTGACAGTTAGTTTT